TTTGTTAAAACACTGAGAGTATAACAAGTACATCTAAACATGCCTTTAGTTTTCGCCTCATGATTCATCATGAAGGAGAGTGGGTTCTGACCATAACATGTGTGCAATGCATTTGGCAAATTGGGTCATGCACTCCAAGCACTATGCTCCATTGCCAGGTCTTGGATGTGAATTATGATTGAGAGAGAGTACAGCTATCTAGTCCTATGAATGGAGGGACAAAGGTGGTGGATAGAGTCATAGAGGCAAGCCATGTTTGGTGCAACATCCCAATCAGTTGCAATTGAGGCAGGTTTACTAATAAGTTTGCTTAGAAAGCTACTGAGCATAAAAAACCTGGGTTCAGGCCATATAGCAACAAGTTAGATAGAATCATGATCTTTATCACTGTAAGATATTCATTGCTATTGAACAATAAATAAAAATAAGAATAAATCTAAAGAGCCATAATGATGCTACTTTGCTAGATATGAATGTACAGGGTTTTCCTCAAATTATGGCGCCAACGGCGGGGGCGGGAAAGAGAGGGAAGTGGTTAAATATTAGAGAGAGGAAGTGTTTCAAATATGTGAGAGAGAGGGAGCTAGAGAGAGAGATGAGTAGTTCAAATGAGTATGAGAGAGAGGTTAAATATTACAGAGAGGAACTGTTTCAAATATGTGTGTGAGAGAGACAGAGCTAGAGCAGTACTACTCGGGGCGAGTACTCAGCTCATGCCCGATCTGAGTACTCGGCCCTAGTTTGAGTAACTTTCCCGGAGTAGGGCCGATTAGAATAGCAGCCAAAAAAAGGTTAACAAAATTATAAAAAACACAAAACTAAATCCAAAAAAATAAAAAATGTATGTTTAAAACAAGGTTAAAAAAAACACATCAAAATGAGGTTAAAAAATAGATTCTAAAAAATCAATTTTTGACGGGGGTGTTTTCAAAACAATCCAAAAAATATGAAAAAATATTAAAATAATTTTTTATGGCTAAAACACATTCTAATCTTTACCAAAATGATGAAAAAAATAAAAAAAATGAATTCCTTATTTTTTTTGTTTTTTTACTTTTTTTTTAATATCCTAAATAGAGCACCCAGCTCAGGGGAAACTCAAGCTCACCAGAGTGTTGAGCCTGGTGAGCCCGAGTACTCAGGAATCAGACCGAGTAGTCAAACAAAACACTAAGCTAGAGAGTGAGAGATGAGTGGTTCAAATATGAGAGAGAGAGAGAGAGAGAGAGAGAGCCATAAACGGTTAGAATGCGGGTGTCGGCCAACTATAGTAAATTTTCTCCTAAAATCATTAGTGAGAATCATGCGGTCATGCAAAGTTGTCGTATCGTTGCTCCTTTTGCACAGGGTGTGAAGCAACAGATGAGGGGGCCTCAATGGGCGACAAAGGGGGGGCCAATGCTTTTTCATCCTTTGATGCTTGGAGTATCATGTGTCTTGTCCAGCAATACTAATGCAAATTCAACTGCTTTATCTCTTTCTCTCTCTCTCTCTTGATAAGAATCATTTCCCACTCATTTGTTATCCACTAGTGCATGTGTGCATAGAAGAACTTAGAAGAACCATGGTCAAAAATGTTGCAACATCTTTTGACTCCTTTTAGGGTATCCATAACCATTAGCCCTCCACAACATTGAAGAGAAAACTAATCATCTAGAGACATAAGAGGGACATGAAGATTAAAAACTACTTTTATGGTACACGTACACATCATTTTGATGAGAACCATTTTCACAATAATTATCCACAAAAAAGAAAAAAAAAAAAACCATCTTGCACATTCTTGTACACGTGAAGCGGGGCCGTTGAACTATCCAAAAAAAAAAAAACCTGGAAAAAAAAGATGAAAAAAAGAAAAAAGAACGTAAGGCATCGCGGTTCCAAAAAATAAATGACTTGGTGACAAGCCCTTGTGTACCCAATACCCTTAGCCCTTATGGCCAAGTATTGAATCAAATGTCAAGGTAAGTGATATATTAGAGGGAGTAGGAAGGGTAATAAATATAAGATAAAGAGTCCTACAAAGAACTTCTTAATAACCTTCAACAGCTCTATTACAGCCCCTTATAAGATGGACCTTGTGGTATGGGAGTACTCTCTCAGTTAACTTCTCCCTCGGGAAATGAGGATGGGGCATCAGTGGTTGGAGAGAGGATGTGTTGACGAATATTGTGGGTTGCAAGATATTGAGTTTTTTATTTTATAAGAATATAGTTGTAATGAGCTTTGTTTACTAAAAAACAAGAATTGTAATTCTATAAATCTCTAATAAATCAGAGTAATCTCCATAAATGAGATATTGATTTACCTTCCGTAGACGTAAGCACAATTGTCATACCACGTGTACGTCTTATTGATCTTTTTCTCTTTCTCCCTCTCGTCACCATTTATCTTATTGCAAATTCTACATGATGCTTCAACATAATGTCTCACCCTCCACTCCCACCGTCAACATATCAAAAGAAAAAAAAGTGGGGAATCCTCCCATCACTCCCTACTTTTGATCAAATAGTTGTTCACATAGCAGTCGCTCCCATCACTCCTAAAAGTAGGGAATCCAGTGGATAAGAACAATTGTAGGAACATTATGATTGCCATGACTGCAGATATAGAAGAAGGCCTTCGAAGAGAATGGAAACTCAGTCCATACACTTAAAGCAAAGATTCTAGCAACAATCATATCAAGAGTGAAGGTTTGGAAGAAGCACCGGGAGGAGTACGGTAACTCAGACTTCCTTACCCACTTCAAAACTGTAGTCAAATCTTCCCTACTATTGCGAACAAGGTCAGATAGATGGGAGGCATTGCCGGTGATTCGATAAAGCTAAACTTGATAGGATCAACCAACATAATCCCGAAGTAATACCAGACATGATTAGGTTGCTAATCGTGAAAAAGACTAGAAAAGTGTCATCTAATCGACAAAATGGAGCAGCATATACCCGGCAAATTTTATCCTATCGTAAACAAAATTACATTATTATTTAAAACAAATACACTCGTGCAAAATTTAGATGTAACACCAATATGCGATAAGATAATAGGGAATAGATTTACGTGGGCTGGCCACGTGTGGTCCACACCCAGTATAGCACATGGTAGGAGGTGCGAGTTTTTTTTAAGTAGAAGGCTAAAAAAGGGTCAGGGATATGCCCAAAAGAACATAGTTGGAAGTAGTAAGGAAATATATGGGAACTCATGGCTTCAGTGAGAGTATGATCATTAATAGAACAGAAAGATGTATTAGGATTTATGTAGGCGACCCCAACTAGTTGAAAAAAAGCTTTGATGATGATGACAAGGCAAAATTAAATTAACTAAATACATTAAATCTCCTTCAATCGTGTTTAAGGGAAAAAATACTCCACAATGCGGTCGAGGAAGGTATCTCTACGGCAAACTAGCACGAGGTAACTAAGAGAGAACTGTCGGTGATCACTCTAATTTTGTATGGTTCTTGACAATATGGTGATACATAAAAGCATGTATGATAAGATTGTCTATTTTTTTATAAGAAGGACATAATTCCTATTAGCTGTTAGATTTGAAATCGTAAGGTTGGAGATAAAGCTCAAAATTTAGTTAGTTTTTTTTTTGAATTTTCTTTATGTCATATGTCATTATCATTATCATCCGAGCCTTATCCCAACTAAATATGGTATTACATGAATCTTGTTTTAACATCTTGCTCTATCAATGATTATACCTTCAATAAATCCATCAATAGCCATATCTTTTCTCGCTACTTCTATCTATGTCTTTTTGAGCATTCGTTTTACCTTTTTAGAGCCTTTTACTTAAATCAAACCACAAACTACACCTCCTAAGTGGTGTTGTATTAATTTATATTTTTTTGAACCTTCACTTTACCCTTTTAGATCCTTACATTTGAACGAAACCACACCTCCTAAATGATGTTCTATTTAGCCCATGCTGCTGCAACTTATATCACATGTCCAGCAGCCTACTTTCACATCTGGTGGTCAAGAGTGGTAGTGACTTCCATCAAATATTAATGGTCTTGTACTATACAATGCATGCACATCAATTTTATCTAATCAACCAAGATATAACTACTTTCATGCCACTCTTACTCTTAATTTGAGAACAATTTTGGTGAGAAAATAGACTAAAGCTGCTTTTTGGCGCACGTACTCAGTCTGATAGGAACCAGTAAGCACACGTACAGAGAGACACACGCGCAGAGAGAGAGAGATGGTGGTGGGGGAGGGGCATCCATGTGGTGGGGTTTAGGAATAAAAGTTAGAGAGGAAGGGGGGGGGGTATCTTTGAAAGTGGGGTTTAAAACAGGAATGAAAGATGGCGTTAAAGCAAATCATAAATAAAGATGAGACGGCACCTAAGTAGTGATGTTCCATATGGATCTAATAAAGCACTAAAGCACAAATCACATAAATAGTAAAAGGGAAACAGACATTTTGTGTGAGAGAGAAGCAAGCAGTATTGAGGGGTGCTCTTTTACTGGGGTTAAAAGCAAATTTAAGATTGCATTTAAGGTAAAGATAAAAGTGAAGAACAAAGTATTGAGGTGTAGAGAGATAGAGGGCTAAAAAAATACAGAAGCAAGGGATCCCTGATCAAAGTATTTAACGAAGTCCAAAGCATAATAAATCGTTAATAACAATGTGTTTAGCTTAAGCTGATGCCAAATGTGGAGGTAGTTATAAACCCACCTAAATTTAGAGGGAGCCATAAGCACATTTAGAGAGAGAATCAGTACAGTGCCCAAAGGAGTAGCTACACACATTTAGAGGGTGTTACATGCAAACTAACATGAAGATTTAGAGAGAGAAAGAGAAAGAGAGAGAGAGTTGGTGTCAGGGGGTGCAGCTTTTGCTTTTCAATTCCTCTGTTTTAAAGAGTATTCAATTGGGTGGGATTCATGCTGACTCCTCATGCTTTGTTGAGGTGTTGGTATCAATAAAGCGAAGGAATAAAGAAAACCAAACAAAGATCTCATGAGATGGAACACAAATCTCTAGACCATCTAGGGATTCCCATTCATACTTTTAACAAAAATTTATACTTAAAAAAAAACTCAAAATTGGGACTCTAATGAATGGCCAAACGCAGGGAATGTTGGATTCCATAATCCCTTTCCCTTTATCTATTTCTTTTTTAAAACAAAAATTTTAATTCAAACACAGTTTTCAATGAGAAATGGATGATTGAGCCAACAAGGAATTTCATCTTTTTCTCTCATTATTCTCTCTCTCTCTCTATGGCTCGATATTTCCATTTCCCTTGAAGAAATGATTTTGCTCCTGAGCCAAGTGGGTTTCCATGATGAAAGCATGAGCCCCCCCTCTTCTTTTGTTTTGTGAATGACATCTGTGTGAAAAACCCATCAAGAATTTGAGACCAACCCATCACCCAACCCACCATTAAAACTCTTAAACAAGCTCTGACTGCTGCCCTGAAACTAACAAGCCTTTCTCTATCTGCAAGTCTACCAATATGAAGAGAGAAGGTCTCTTCTTTTGGGTGGTTTTCTTCTTTTCATGGGCTTCTTCCACTGCTTTGCTCTCTCCCAAAGGTGTTAATTTTGAAGGTAATTGAATGTCTTTGGCTTCTGCAACTTGGGTTGCTTTCATTTCTTACAAACTTTGATTAGCACTCTGTTTTTTGGGATATTTATTCCTAGCTTTCAAGCGTAAATATTTGAATTGCTTTCTCTTGTTGGAAGTGGATTTCTCTTCAGTTTCCTTTTCCGTTTACTGATATTTTTTTTTTTTATGTATTTAGTGCAAGCTTTGATGGGTATAAAACAAGCTCTTAAGGATCCTTTGAGTGTTCTGGAGAACTGGGATGGTGACTCTGTTGATCCTTGTAGCTGGGCCATGATCACTTGCTCTCCTGAAAATTTGGTTATAGGACTGTAAGTTTCTTTCAAAACTCTCTCTTTTCCTGCTAATCCTTTATGAAAATATTTTGTTATTCAAGATGTCTGGAAACAGTCTCCATATGAAAGTCCATAATACTATCTAGGACTGTTAAAAATCTCTCTCTTTCTCTCTCGCTCATTCTTTCTTATTCAAATTAAATGGAGATGGATCTTTTCCTTCAAAATAACTGGATACAGTTTCCAAATTGTTATGGCACCTGAAGGAACTTTCATAATAACTGGATACAGTTTCCAAATTAATGCTATGGCACCTGAATGAACTCTACTACTGTTGGAAATTACTCTCTCTCTCTCTCTTCCAAATAAATAGAAATAAATCTCTTTCCTTGTATTAATTATGATGTGATGCTGAAGAGTAGTCCACTGAACTGAAAGTACACTGCAAAAATGGAAAGAACCATTTTTCTTAAGAAACAAGTTGAATTCTTCTGTAACTGAACTTACGTGCCCCATAAAAATCTTAAAGTTACTCAGATTTCCTTATTTATTCTGTCCATTAAAGAATAGTAGTATGGGCAGCTCCTGATAAACTTCTCAGATTCACTGTAAGAATTAAATGGAATGAACCATTGATGAAGGTCTAAAGAGAGAGAGACTGTTTTTGGATCACAGTGATTGAAAATGTTCCTTTTTGCTTCAAATATTTACGATATTGTAATGTTTGCAGGGGAACCCCTGGCCAAAGCCTATCTGGTACTCTCTCTCCAAGCATTGGCAACTTGACCAATCTTCAGATAGTGTAAGTCCAAGAAGCAAAGTGTATTGCTTTCATTTTTTCTTCTTCCTTTTAAGAAATCTCTGTAATTTTGGTAATAAGATAATCTTCTCTTTTTTTATTTGCAGTTTGTTGCAGAACAACAACATATCAGGATCAATTCCTCACGAAATTGGAAGGCTATCTATGCTTAAAACCCTGGATCTTTCGAATAATCTCTTTGATGATTCGATCCCAAATTCAATAGGCAATTTGAAGAGCCTTGAATATTTGTAAGTAACAGAGAAAATTGTTATCTTTCTAATTTTGAATTTTACTTTCTATATTCATAAATCTAAATTTGGTTATGAATTTGAATGGAGATCAGGAGGCTCAACAACAACAGTTTATCGGGACCTTTCCCTTCGTCTCTGGCCAACATTTCGGAGCTTGCTTTTCTGTAATTCTCTTTACCCTCCCTCTCTTCTCTAAGCTTTTCTTCTGAGAACTTCACAGTTTTGATTGTACTCTCTCTCTCTCTTCTTCTGTGAAAACTTCACACTGTTGATTTACTCTCTCTCTCTCTATGCTTTTCTTCTGTAAAAACTTCAGTCTCAATTTTAATATCTCTCTCTCCCCCCTAATTGCATGATGGAACTTGCCAGTTGGTTAACGTCTTTCTTGATGTTGAGATGCAGGGACTTATCTTACAATAATTTAAGTGGACCAGTGCCCAAATTTCCAGCTAGAACATTCAAGTAAAGTCTCTTTAGCCTGCTTTTTGTCTTTTTTCCTGTTCTAGGTTTCTTTGTCTCTTTCATTGGGTTATTCTTCAAATCTCTAACAAGAATCAGAGTATTGAATTCTGTTTTTAATGTTTTAATTATTCTTCGCCATTTTTTGCAGCATTGTTGGAAATCCTCTGATATGTGGAAATGGAGCAGAGAAAGATTGTTCGGGATCAATTTCTCTTCCTCTCTCTTTCTCAGTGAATGCAACACAGAGTGAGTATCTTGATCTTTTTGTTTCATAAAATTTCATGGTCAGCTTAAATTCTTGCTTTCTCTTTCTTGTTTCTTTCTTATAGTTTATATCTGATCTCCTTAACTCAATTCCAACCTTCAATTACTGTACAATCTTCGGATCTTTGGCCACCATTTGTTTACCTTCCTCCTATCTGAAAACTATGAATATTTCCTTATGACTCCCATCTGTTTACATTATTTTGGGTTTTGTTTGAACTTCGCTACTGAGCTTTGTGGTTTCCTATACCTGTGCTCCATGTAAGTTAGTGTTCGCAAAATTAAACCGGAACAGTTAACTGGACATGGGGCCAAAAAATTGTTGAAAAAAATAAAAAAAAAATGCAAAAAAAAATCTACTAATATATGAAAAGCATATGTATAATGGTTAAAAAAAAATGCATTCAAAGGAAGTTGAAAATTAATGAAAAAAATGGAATTTAAAAGTGAGTATCAATGACCAAAACAATTTTTAATATTTACCATAATGTATATAATATTAAAAAATATTTTGCAAATCAAATTCCTTATTTTTGGGATTTTATATGCATTTTTTTAAATTTTTATTTTTAAAATACCAGCGGATCACCAAAACGGCCCGAAACCGAAACCGGCAAGGGCCCAGTTCCGATCTAACCAGGCGGTTACCGGTTAGATCGCCTGGTTTTTCTAACAATGGTGTAAGCTTCCAAAATCCTGTATTTTATTTGTAAGTTTTATTCAATAGCATCATGTACCTTTTTCACAAGCAATTCCACTTCACTGTTTTTTTTTCCTTGTGCTCTTCTTGTTTTACAATTATGTTGTGGATCAAATGCATCAAGTGCTAATTTTGTTATCTCTCTCCTGCAGGTAATCAACCCTCAGACAGACCCAAAAGCCACAGGGTGGCACTTGCATTTGGCTTGAGTCTTGGTGGTATCTGTCTCCTAATCTTAGGATTTGGGCTTCTCCTATGGTGGAGACACAGGCATAACCAGCAGATCTTCTTCGACGTCAATGGTACACACATAATCAGCTTGTCTCCGTGAGAGAGAGTGCACTTCTTAGTTCTTCCCGCGTACACCAAAACCTCAGTTCTTTCTCCAGAAAATAAAATAAAATAAAATAAAATAAAAAGACCTACTTCTCAGTTCCTGTGTAGTTTCATCATAGAAGCAAAAAAGCAATTCAATGATCTCCATTTGAACTAACTTGGCCTCACTATATCTGGAAATTCTTCAGACCAACATGACGAAGAGGTCTGCCTTGGCAACCTGAAGAAATTCCAATTCAGAGAGCTCCAAGCTGCCACAAATAATTTCAGCTCCAAAAACATTCTTGGAAAAGGTGGATTTGGCATTGTGTACAAAGGCTATCTTCAAGATGGCTCAGTGGTAGCTGTGAAAAGGCTTAAAGATGGCAATGCAATTGGAGGAGAGATTCAATTTCAGACAGAGGTTGAGATGATAAGCTTAGCTGTTCACCGGAACCTCCTAAGGCTTCGTGGGTTTTGCATGACCTCCAGTGAGAGGCTCCTGGTTTATCCCTACATGTCGAATGGAAGTGTTGCATCTCGACTCAGAGGTGAGATTTTTCGAGTGTCACACTTGTTCTTCTCGTTTCTTGAAGTTCATCTAATTGAAAGGTTGGTTTGATGGAGGTAGTAAGTTTTCAGCGACGTTTTTGGACTCGCCCGAGTCCACTCTGACTAGGGCGAGTAACTCGCCTTGCTCTACTGGCGTGGTGAGAGTTGGGGGCATATTGCGCGGCAACTTGCCTGGCTCCATAAAATTGCAAAAAGAATACAAAAGCTAAAAATAAAAGAAAATTAGAAAACACGAATATGTTAGTTAGTGATATATGGTTATTTGATTTTGATAGTTTTTAAGATGATCTAGTAAATTTATATTTTTTTTCCTTTTTTCTAATTTTTTCTGAAAAATTCAATGTATACATAAGTTTTTCAATAGTCTATCCTTTATAGATTTTGTTCATCTTCTTTATTATTCTAATGCAATCTATTGCCTCTTTTAACTTTTATTTTATTTTTAACAATTCTCAAACAATTATTTTATTTTATTGATTTTTTACAATTTTTTGCATGAGCATGACTCAGCCAGGTTACTCACCTTGGCCAAGGGGCGTGTCCCTTGGCCGAGCCGATTTCCTAAACATTAACATTTTAGAGTTTAAAAGTGAGAGTAGATGAACTCAATCCCAAAGAACTGAAACAAATTGTATCACCTTTATTCTTCTTTGAAGATAAGTTAGAATTAAAAGGTTTTCTCTAGTAGACATTATTTTCAATCCCAAAAGGGAAAGCATAACGTATACCATTGATTCATTGTATATGGTACATGAGATGGGGATGCGCCATCTGTTCTCAATGATCAATGATGGAGATTAACCAGATGAATGTTCTGGAGGCTTGCTACTGCAATATTGCATCCATCATTGCCAATGGATGTTACACATCCAATTGATGTTCTGTATACCATACACCATTGGTGGCTGTTATACTTTCCATCACATAGATAGTATTCTTTGTCTGCAAGAGCATTGTGGTCTCATTTGTGCTCAAATAATTGCCTTAATGAATTTCAGGTGTTCTTAATATTTTAATTGTTACAACATTGTATCTAATGTTTGATTCACTGTATTTGTGGATTTTGTTTTTTTTGGGTGGCGGAAGGGGTGTGTGTGTGTGAGAGAGAGAGATGCATGAACAATAGTAGGCTCCTCTCATCTTCATGGGCAACTCATCAATCACTCACTCTTTTCAAAACAGCAAAACCTGCATTAGACTGGGGTACAAGAAAGAGAATAGCCCTTGGAGCTGCAAGAGGACTACTCTACCTACATGAACAGTGCGATCCAAAGATTATCCACAGAGATGTGAAGGCTGCGAACATACTCCTTGACGACTACTGTGAAGCCGTGGTCGGTGACTTTGGACTTGCAAAGCTCTTAGACCATAGAGATTCTCATGTGACCACAGCAGTTAGGGGAACAGTTGGTCACATAGCCCCTGAGTACCTCTCCACAGGCCAGTCCTCTGAGAAAACAGATGTCTTTGGCTTTGGAATCCTTCTTCTTGAGTTAATCACAGGGCAAAAAGCACTCGAATTTGGAAAGGCAGCGAATCAGAAAGGAGCCATGCTTGATTGGGTGAGAAGAATTTGCAGTTTAAAAATTTATTATTTTTTCTATAATAAGTTTATGAGTTAAGATGATTGAACTACTTTTGTTTGGAATTTATATTTATATTTACATTTAAGCATGACTTAGTTTTTTAAAACAATTCCCAAAAATTTAAAGGCTGGTTCTTTGTACACATTCTTTTGTTGAAAATCTCACTGTTATCTTTGCAAGATCTTAGGAAATGGAGATTTTGACATTATTATTATTTTCCATTCAAACTTTTCATTATCAACGTTTCCTTATTTTATTTTTTTCCCCCTCTGTTCATCTTTATTCAAATGAAGATGTATGACATTTACTGCTTTCCAAACACTTTTCCCCTTTTGCCTTGTTTTTCTTTCTTCAGTTTTATAACATAGCCCTTCAAATGAAGGAGAAAACAAGAAATGCAAAGCTAATATAAGTTTTGTAACAGGTGAAGAAAATCCACCAAGAGAAGAAGCTCGATCTACTGGTCGACAAGGATTTAAAAATCAATTATGATCGTATAGAGCTTGAAGAGATGGTCCAAGTGGCTCTTTTGTGTACCCAATATCTACCTGGCCATAGACCCAAAATGTCAGAGGTTGTGAGAATGTTAGAAGGAGATGGACTTGCTGAGAGATGGGAGGCATCTCAAAGATCTGATACCTCAAAATTCAGAGGCTCCGATCTCTCTTCAGAGCGCTACTCTGATCTCACCGATGACTCCTCTTTACTTGCTCAAGCAATGGAGCTCTCCGGCCCAAGATGAATACTTTCAAATGCATTAGTTTTGATTTCCTAGCTGAAAAGTGCATCTATATTCATAGTTCTTTGAATTGTTGGAGTTTTGGTGTAAGTGTATAGAGAGAGAGAGAGAGAGAGAGAGAGAGAGAGAGAGAGAGAGAGAGAGAGAGAGAGAGGAGAGAGTGAGAGTAGTAGAGTAGTACGTACGTACGTACGTAGTAACGTAACGTTAACTTACTTACGTTACGTTACTTAAGTTAGTTAGT